GAATACATAAACTGTCCAATTATTATTTTTTTATTTTTCTGTATTTTTATAATCATTTTATGTAGAAAAATAATTTTTATATGAAATAAAACATATTTCATACTACATACACAGACAGAGGAGATAAAAGGTTTTAACTATAGTCTCTTGGACTATAATGTAAATGAGATTAATGTCAAATTACTTAAAAAAAAGTGCAAAGAGGTTATTTTAAGGTAATTATGTCATATTCCTAAATATAAAGACTGATTTTAAATTGACTTTATACTTCATGGAATATATGTGACCTTTGTCGTTTTTAAATTTTAACAGTACTGCTAAAGTAGATCTATAAAATCGTATATTTATATTATAAACAAATAAATAGTAGGTGAACTATAACACAACGTTAAGTAAGGGTGCTCAAGTTAAGTAAAGGTTTAGATTTTAGTTTACTACTTTCGCTTAAATAGACCAAAAACTGATTTTCATCTCAAAAAATGACGAGACAAAGAGAAGTGCACACGGGCGGCGTCCATTTCTAATAGATATGTAGTTGATAAATATATAACCAAAAAAATATCGAAAATTCACTTAAATAAATTTATCATAAAAACGAAATTTTTGTAAATTCAAAATACATATATAAATAAAGTGTATTCAAATTTTACCGCTCGTGCGTATTGACGTTTTGCGCATCGCAAACAACCAAAGTGTGCATAGAACGAAATTTTCTTACCATTTTTGTGTCCCTAACTCAGACTAAGCTCAGTGTAGATTTATGGGTATAATGACAGCAGATAAAGCCAGGACCAATGACTTAACGTGTCTTACCATTCACTAAAAATATTTAATAAACATAGTCAGCCCATTCTACATCCCCATTACAAGGGTTCAGGCCTGAATGGTGAAGGAGGATGGGTCTCTCCACGCTGGCCGAATGCGGATTGAAGGGTATTAACGACTGCAAATATAGCTGCTTACCGTGTCCTCCAAAACACAAAGTATCAATTATATTTTTGGTCACCCATCCCGTGACTGAACCTTGCGAAAGTTGTTTAACAAGAACGATCGCGGGCCGCGGCGCTTATCCAGTACACCACCGCGCTACCAAAGCTCGAGTGTCTGAAGTTACTGAGAATATTTATTCGGTCTTAAAGAAGTAATAATTAGATCTCGATAATTACAAAAGGATCGTGTTTATAGCTTATTAATAATTAATACCCCTGATTGTTTAACAATCAAACAAATGTAATTAGGTCTAGTATTCTCATAATTAATTATGTCTTCGTGCTGACATGTTGACATGTGTTTAAATATTAGTGTTAGGGACATCAGCCAAATTGTAATGAGGCTAATTCGATAGTTCGGTAATGACAGACACGATCGCCAATCGTTTGGCGTGCCAACGGGCAGGGCCCAGTTATAAACGTTTTCTATTATTTTTGACATATAAATAGATTCACACAATCAAGCCAAAGTTTGACATCTGAGAACAAAGCTTTTCTATTTTTCTAATTGCATTAAAAATATTACGTTTTTCACTTTTAATAATATTTTTTGAGTCGCTTTATTTTTTATATATTTGTTCTTTTTTAAGTCGGCAAAAATTGAATATTTCAAAACTAATATTACTGTAACAATATTATAACCTCCTATTTTTAAGCCGGTAAAAACTGCTGATCTAGAACAGTAATTATTAAACTTGCCAATTCGAAAGTAAATGCGGCGACATGACGTATTGAATTCCGGGATCGCTCGCTACGCTCGAATCGCTCTAAATGAGCGTGTTGAGACTCGAGCCTTCACGAATCGTTTACAGTACAAAGCCGGCCCTGTGGCCTGAAAATTAAGAGGCACGCAACATTTAAGTGATTAATTTAGGCGATTAAAACCGGCTAAATGAATAAGTTATTTTTAATTACGGAGTAATTGCGAGAACGCGATGTTAGATTAATTACTCGGAGATGATGCGGCACGACCGCTGAGTGTTTCTTACCAAATGAGACGTGAACGAATCTGTACGGAATTGTTCAGCAATAGCAGTTTATTGTATCTCAAATTACATAAGAAAAAACTATATATATTGACGATATAAATCGTCTTTGATAAAAAATTCCATATTTAAAAAGTTATGAAAAGTATTTTTAATTTAACAACACGTTCAAAATCACATCTGACTGATGAAACTCATTGAAGCTAACAACGTTATCAATAACAAAAAACAACAATCAAATTATTTTCTATAAATTATTAAAATAATATTTAAAACTGTAATCACATTTGTAATTATTTAATGCTTCAATAAAATAATGATAAAAAATGACAGTTATCAAGTTTACGTAACAATATCGTCATCAGTCCGCCACAACTTAATCGATTAGATAAATTAATCTGAAGTCGTCCCATATGTGGGACAAACAAATCTTCGATGTAGGTAAATCAAGTATCATAAATTATGTGATAAAAATTGTTTTTGGAAGTAAAACACAGCGAAAATTTTATGTATAGGCTGATTCTGTTTGACACAAATAATCGAGGTATATAAATAGAGGATAGTATTGGTTAAACTGTCTTATGTCTTCACGACATATCCTTGCGGGGTAGGCAAAGAGGACCGAGTGCCGGTCAACAAGGCGCGGTCCTTATATATATTTTTCGTCTCCTTCACTTTTATTACTCTTTTCATAAATGTTTCTTAGTATTTACTATTATATTAGATACACGACTACTGTCTGACAGCCCAAATAAGAAGTATATTGTGATATTTGATGAATTTTGCATTTAAAATGTTATACTGAAAAATATGAAACGTCATGGGTTTCTCAGAGTGCATTTTTTAAGCATTTCTCATTAAGAATATTTTTAAAAATGAATCACAAATGAATGCTCCCCTGAATACAATAAAGCGTTTTTATTTTTATTTTGTATTATTTATTTTAACATCATTGATTTTTAATGTACAGTAAAAAAGAAGACTGGCGACAAATTTCTTGCAATCAACTTTTAATTCTTTCTTGCTTAAAAATGTTTATTTAATAAACATCAGAATTAAAACAAAGACTTTCTGTAGGATACCGCAAGATGCTAACCAGATTGTTTGAAATCAATTGAATTTTATTTATACAATATCATCAAAAATATGTCTTTTTTTTATATCACAGAACCCCATTTGAATGCACCCCTCTGTAGCTACTTAGTGGTTACACACACTCACCCGTAATGTCAGTAGCCAATGATTTTTCTAGGGTCGGAAAGCAACGACCCGCCTGTTACATATAATGGCACTAGTAATACTCACGTATTGTAAATTTCAACCCTTGGACAATGGCTCACCTTATGATAAACGTTTCTAAAAATTTTAATTTTTGACATGAAATAGTTATAAAAATTCAATTTAATATAATTTTCTAGAATTAAACACACTTTATTTACTTATCCTCCAACAAGCATCATCATTATCAGCATTAACCCTATAAGGTATTAACAACTGCAAATGCAGCCGGGACTAACTGCTTAACGTTTGCTTAACAACAAAGATCGCGGGCCGTGGCGCGTGGATAAGCGCCATCGAGCTACTCGTACAACAAGCATCCCTCAAAATATAAAATATTTTCACAGTTTAAAGATTTTAGACATTTTAATAAATATGTTTGAACCCAAGATCTATGTATTTAGCAAATTTTAACTATTGCTGATCACCGTAACCGAATGCTTCGCACACTAGTTTCAAGACGTTGTCTTCTCCCATCAATCTATGAGTTCCGGAGTTCGATTCTCAATCGGGTCAATATAGAAGTATTGTATATTTACCAGGAGTTGTGATACCTTCGCAGTTTAAGATTATATGATATTTAGCTTTTTAGGATTTGAACAATGTTTAATTGTGTAATATTTATTTAGTATATATTTTTATAATAAGTTATTTGACTCAATTTAATTTGTCTGTGTCTAAAATAATACTTTACCAATAGAACAGAGAAATATCCAACATCGCTCGTATAAAATTTATTGTTTTAAACGTTACAGTTTATTGTGTTAAAGTGAAAATGATTTAAAGCTTTCTATCATATAGATTATAAGTTCAAACATCCTGTATATATCTGTTCAGTATCAGTGCATATCGTAGCGACCCGACCCCGTCACTATCAGACAATTAACTTTAATGGATATATTTAAATTAGTGCCACATACAACTGACAATACTATTATCAAGAGAAAAATAAATCATACTGTTTAAGATTAAAATTGTTAGTTAACAGTTAATAAGTCCTTTTTTTATTTAAGGAAAAAAATGCTGAATATAATAATAATAATTAAATATTGAATAAATCTTGTATGTTGCCAAAAACTAAACACTCACCATAGTTGGTCGAATCAAGTAGGAATCCTAGTAAGGAATCTAGGGCGACGGCAGAGGCCCACCAAGACGAGCCAAAACAAACAAAAGAGTAAGTCAATTTTACTTTTGCTTCTTCGTTTTTTTTTTTTATATAATATACTATTTATTACCATAGACTGCATTATATTGTGACATATATTTTGTTTATGATAGCAATTGTAGCATATACTGATTGCATTCTATACGGTCTCAAAAAATCTTTTTTCTTCCATTACAAACTTTTTAGTCATTAATAAATCAACATAAGACCTCTTTTTATTTTACTTTAATGTTGCTTATACTGGAATACTGGATGGAATCAAATTCAAATTTATCTTTAATTGAATTGATAACTTTTTGGCTCTTTTAAATAAATCGTCGTTGATATTCAGGGACTTATTTGGAAAAAATTGATAAACTACCGATACCACTGCATTTTTTTGTGTATAACCATATAAAGTTATGACGGCTTTTCTAAAAATAATGATTAAAATCTTATTATTTTCATGTCTCATTTTTCATATAGGTATAAGGGTGATCAATGACTTTGTTTTATTCATGTTAGATACCTTTGTAACCACTGTGCACCATAAAACAATTTATTAATAGAATTAATTTCGCAAATTTACTATTATTTACCAAATGGTAGGGTTGTCACTTATTATACATAAAAAAGTCATACTTTCTATTTTTAGTACAAAGAAAATTCCAAAATCCCCGCTAGGGTACAACATTACTACCAGCCCTTTTACGTCCCCACTGCAGGGGCTCAGGCCTTCCTCATGGATGGTTGAGGAGGATGGGCCATGACCCTCCACGCTGGCCCAATGCGGATTGGAGGGTATTAACGACTGCAAATGAAAAAGCACGGAGTAGCTCGAGATAATAATTTTTTGGTCACCCATCCTGTGACCGACCCTTGCGAAAGTTGCTTAACAACTACGATCGCGGGTCGCGGCGCTTATCCACTACGCCACCGAGCTACCTAGGGTACGACATGAAGATATATATTATATTAAAATCAAACCATTTTGTTTCAGTATGAAAGAAATATATTTTAACTATACAAGTAGAAATAACAATATACAGTAAAAATTATATTTACACAATCGTTAAAAGTCCCAGAGATTATTACATTGCTTATTTAATAAAAAAATCTAATAAATCTTGTACTTATTATATTCAAACAACGAATTCTAGTTTTGGTAAAAATGTTTACCTATTTAAATAATATTTCTTTAAATTAATACAGATATCACTCATACAAGTGCTTTAAAAACTTAACTTTTTTATTTACAAAATTTACAAAATCTCCATATAGAAGATAATTCCAAGTTTGCTTTTCTTTGCTTTTACAACGTTCTTCGATATCTCATAGCAAAAAGCGGTGGAAATAATGCTAAAAAGGATAAGGGAGGGCCAAAATGCAATCAAAAGTTTGTATAAACGTTTTGGTAGGTGTGTTAAGACACCATGAAAATCGACAGGCATTTAAGGGTTATATATAAATATCATGAAACTGCCCATAACTAAGAATTTAATTACTTCGTGTTAAAATATAGAATAGGATGAAATTATTCAACATCACCTGAAAAACCTAAGAACTCACGTCCTGCTTAAAGGAAAAGTTCAAGGAATATAACTTAAAATTCATAAGAATTAATAGATCAAGTGTCTATTATTGTACAGACCTAGCATTAAACGGTAAAACAAACTTTAAAAGTAATTCAAAACGAGCTAAACACGCATTGGTTGATATTAAGTATGTAAACTTTTCATGTTATTATAAAAAGAAAAGTTTTCTGATTTTAAATTTAAAAGTGGAACTCTTATTGTGGTCCAGTAGGTGTGCTAGGCGATGGTGAACCAGACACAGGTGGTTGAACCATCGCTAGATGCGGCGGCAAACCCATCGGGGGCAATGGCCGCCCTCCCCCCATCAAGGGGTGGGGGTGGAAATACTGCTGTAACGCCGGGTGTGGGTACAAATGGTGGGGGTGCCGGGAAAACTGCGCCATTTTGAGTTTCTCGATCTCCGCCTCTTGCACGCGTTTCGCTTTCGCCCGCCGGTTTTGGAACCAGATTTTTACCTGTTGATGACAGATAAAGGTACTGTTAGTCCACTGCTTTTTAAATATTTTTTTTAAACATAAATCTTTTCGTACAGTAGTAAATATAGCGGGATATTCTGCCTTATCTTTGATTTAATTTGTATGCTTAATCATTTGCTAATTTAAGACTGTAATAAAATTAATTCGCCTTTTTAATGATTCGAGCGTTAAAGCTATATGTCAGATTTTATGATAATCAAACTATACAAATTATGAAAGTTTACATAATTATTTATTAAATTAGAAAAATAAGCAATTAATTGATTGATAAAAGATGTTTTCGCACTAATTATCATTTAAAGAGTTTCTGCTTTTTTATTCAAAGTCATGTTTTAGATGTCGCAGATTACGGACAACTAGGGCTAACATTGATAACTTATATCATAATAATTATTTAACCTATTATATTAGTAGGAAGAAGGTACAAAACTAATAAGCACACTTTCTTTTACAGTTAAGTACAATAGGGAAAACAGCTGAGTAAAAAAAGAAATTATATTTAGTCCGTCAGCCAGATAATATAATAATACTACATACATATTTGTGTTTCACATCAATTTAACAAAAAATAGCTTAGATAACAGACATTAAAGTTGAGTGGGGCTCGCTACGTCACAGTATACAAATATACAAAAATATTACCGTGCATTACCGCATATTGTCCGATACCATTTTGCATTTCAAAGTATAATCTTAATGGCAACAAATAAAATGGAGCAAATAAAAAGTAATACGGTACAAATAGAAGTCAATACCTTTATATAAATTATATCTCTTCTTTGAATGCTCGCTTTGAAACTTGTTAAAGTGTGATCAATTCAATCTAATCATATTTCGTATTATTAAAATGAAGTACTCGATGGCTCAGTGGTTAGCGCTCTGTGTCTGCGATATGGTTGTTAAACAACTTTCGCACGAGCTCAAGCGAGCGATCTCGAGCTTCTCCGTGCTTCAGCGGCATAAAGCGGCTGGTCTCGGCTACATCTAAAATCGTTAACACACACCAATCCACACTGCGCCCGCGTCTTGGTCATGGCCCATTCTCACTTTTCAAGTTGAGTCGATTCCATCCATAGGGATGGCTTGAGCCCCAGCAATGGGAACATTAATAGACTAATGATTATTATTACAATGTAATTGAGTAGCATAATACCTGAGTCTCAGATAGGCCAAGCGATGAGGAAAATTCTGCGCGTTCAGCGATGCTCAAATATTGCTTCTCAACGAATTTGCTCTCCAATGATCTAAGTTGCTGCGCAGTGAATGGCGTACGCGGTTTTCTATTCGGCTTGTGCTTGCGAAGGTTACACTTCAGCTTTGCAGGCTCACCGTTTGCATCTGTTGAAGATGAAAGATAATGTTTAGATTTTATACAATTTTCTTTGTTCATTTTTGATAAACGCAACTTAAAAAAAATTATGGAAACTCCAGCGAATCAAGCAACCATCCTTTTATTACACATAAAAAAACGTTGCAATATAGAACACGTCACTAGTCAAATAGTTCTAAGTTATATATGCACATTCTCGTGGTCTATATTTACTACACTTGTGGTATACTTTCATTTTCTAACCAGTTTTTTTCTAACCAGAAAAAGCAATAACTACATTATTTTATAAATTCACTCTATAGTACGTTTAACCAAAGCGGTAGATACAATAACATCTCAATAAAACACTGACATCGATCGGTATGCGAGCCATTCGTATCCGAGGGATTAATAAATCGCATATTAAAACTCATATTAAAAAAAATACAAAGGCAAAGGAAACGGCCCGCGAGCCAACAAAGATAATATCTATTGAAAAGTAATTTCCAACGTATTTAGCGATCGATTCGAGCTTATTTGTAAGCAAATTGATGATTTTTACGACGGCAACTGGGCAAGAAAATTTGATAAACACCCACGCGTTGCTTTTAATGTGCGATGCGAATAGAGATAATAGTGTCGTCACGTCGTCGGATTGTTCGTATTGATGCTTAGAAAAAATGCGGATTTTGATTATCGATTTGTGACGAAATATTTAGTGAATGTTATCTTAATTCACATCTTTGGTTTTGTCTTAATTGTTTACATCAACATGGATTTTATGTAGGCAGATTTCTTAATATTGATTTTATCATGTTTATGTTCAAATATTTAGGAATAATATACCTACTAATATTGTATTTGAAACAAAGACAATCTCAGAAAATCTTGTAAATTAACTGTAATTGGACTAGGTAGCTATAAAAACATATTAATCGATCTACTAAACAGAGAATTAAAGTATATTTTTTTTATTTACGATACCGAAATTAACAATAGAAAATTCTAGTAATAAAACACTAATTAATCTATAGCAATTAAGCTTAATTGCTTCATAAGAAACCCAATTAATTATTTTATATTACTCGTGATTCATAAGGTGGCTTATCTTTGCAGTTATAACGTCACAATAAACATAACGATATGTCAATTAGAAACTTGAATGAATAGAACACAACAACCTAAATAATTAGCTATCTGTTAATTGCTGTTTAGTTACTAAAGAACGAATGAATGACACGTGTCATGAAAGTATCGGAATGACGAGATAAAATCGTACGTCACTAGTCTAAATAATAATTGAAGTCAATGAACTTGTCCAAACTGGTGATCGTTAATTTAAAGATATGATTCAATTGAATGATCTCATCAATCTATTAAACTAATTGTTACTAAGATCGTGGTGAAGAATGCCTTCTTCAAAAATATATTGATTAAATGACAGGTACTTTTTAAAAAGAACCTGTGTTCTAACTTAAATCTATTTCCAAGAAAACATCTAAGTAATAAGACGTACTAAAAACAAAACTGGATCGATAACGATACGATAAAGATGTCGTATTTTTAAGAATAAGCAGAAAATGGATATTTTATATGCTAAATATAAACATATTCATAAGTTTTTACCTGAGTAAGTAATCAAAAATAGGAAACTAGGAAGTCAAAATTGTAATTATTAGAAATAAAACTAATGAATGAAAATCATTTTGTATACACCTGACCAACAATGAAACCAGAAAGAAGCGAAATATGCGGGTCATTCTCAGTCCTGCACTAACTGATGAATTTTAACGTAATAGAGGACAAAATACGATGGAGTTGACGGTAAGTATATCTGAGGATATAAGAGTACAACCCGAGATCTAGTTTAAAACATGATAAATGCACGATATTTGCCGTTTCAAAATTTAAATTCTTATCAGTTTTCATCTTCTGATTTTATCAAGTTTAGTAAGTTTTTATATTACCTAAATAACTTTAAAAAATCCTAACTTTACAATGTAAGACTATGTAGTTTCCATTAAAAACTTTGCTTTGAAATTAGCTACAGACACAGTTAGATGCAGCTATATGAGAGATTAATAGATAATTATGTTACAGTATTTTATACCCAATTACAAAGATACTCTTCAAAAGATAAAGTACAATAGCTTCTATTTTCAATTATAGAACACGATTTTGGTAATAATCATCATTATGAATATATCAATTCTAAAATTCTCATGGCGCCTAAACGTGTAATACTTACGACGACAGCACGATCGCGTCTTAATAGCTAATGGGCGACAAAAAACTCAGGAAAAAAAAACAGCGTAAATTATGTGACAGACGAAAAAAAGCTAAAGTGTATTAATGTCGTGTTTAGCGGACGTCAAAGAGGGCACCGACGACGCGCGACGGAAATAAAGTTAAGGGAGAACCCATACTTACGACACGAAAACACTTCACACAATATAGTAACACAAACTAATAATGTAAATGAAGTAACAGCAGATTTTATATCTCTATTTAACGTGGTAGATTAACCTCCTGAACCACTGGTCCTACATATTTAAATTAACGCACATTATTCCAGACTTACAATATATTTGAATTAGAATTTATGCTCATATAAACCTCATTAATACCTATATCCACTTTGTTAAAATAAAACGTGTTTCCATTTATTTTTGTTAAATAATACCTATATACAAAAATGCCCTTTATTAAACAAAAACACGTTTTTTCGGTCGTTAATGTATCTCCAGCCTTATTACACACCCAGGAGTTGTTTAATTACCTTTAAAACGCTTATATGGATCTGTCTGCTTTCGTTTTCTTGTTAATTGTCTAAAGAGATATTGACTGCAGATGTGTCTACTGAGTTATGCCGTCGTTGTAAGCTGTGAGCGTTGAAAGAAATATGAGACGTTTTGAATACATTCGAATGTTTAATGTCAGAAGTAATTTAAAAAGGGGACACGCGAATGAAATATGAAAAAAGTTGTGTTCCTCTTCCAAAAAATGGTATCCAAATTTCGAGACGTCATTTATGCTGACGCTACCTAATGGTGTAGTGCGCTGCTAAAAAGACAGTTGATATATTAATGAGCGTGTTTGCTTTTTGTGTACGCTCAACCATTAATCGTGCGAGGCGTGGTATGTCATTCATTCCAATATTTTAAACGTTCACCGTATACTTGACGTTTTTGTTGTCCGTACTGGAGAGGCGGGCATTCCTCGCGTCCCAGGGGTTGTTCGACATGCTTTTCCTTTGCATACACATTCGGATTTCCATATTAAATGCTCTTTATTCCCGCAAATGTTGTAAGCAAGCGAGTAATTCTTGCGATCGGCTGGCCTTATTAGGGAAAACGCATTGCTTTCGTTAATTAAATAAAATCAACATTAATTATTTACCTATGAGAGACTGAAAAAGTGAAGCGGCTATTAACTTAATACAGAACATGTGTCCGCTGATTCTACATTAACCTTTTTCACTTAATGTTACACTAAAAAAACGAAAATAGCCATGACATACTGTTTAGACATATAGGGTTGAAGTTGTAAGTAATGGGTGGATATTTATTACGGTAAAATAGAGTAGTGCAGGCATCCTTCGGTATAATTAACGATTATTACCTCAGAGCTCACATTAACATGTGTTCACATCACATCAAAGATACGACATAAATATAAAAATCTAACACAAAGAACTGTTATCTACTATTTAACAGGTCTTCCCGGATTCCGGACGGTGATATTTATCGGGCATCAAACGAACGTCTACCGAGTCATTCATCAGAGAAACCAATCGCTCTCTCATAAATGGAGGCCACAAAACATGCGGAAGCTAAAGATCCGTTTAATACAGCACATCCTTTAGTTTAAAAGCTTTTGGAGTATGTTTTGATCTTCAGTTTTATATAACGTTTGTGATGGTTTTAAAAATGGAATAGACAAGTTGGGAATTAAAAATAAAATGGAACTTTGAAAAAGGTGGGACGTTTTGCAAGGTCTTACTTTAATGAGCAAAACCATCGTTTAATGATCAACTGAATCGTTGGTTTACATTACTATCACCTTTACCAAAAACTACATTCATATTCTATTCCATAATTCAATTAAATGACCTGGTGAAAAATATTTCTTGAGATTAGAGACTTCTAATAAAATTATATACTACTCAGATTGAGTGAACATTAGTTCTCTTAATTAGGTAAGTACTTTTCCGCGTTTTTTATAGCGTCAAAAGATCTATTAAGAGCATAAGAGCCCTGTTTATACATGTCTGACTGCAGTCAGTTTACAAATAGCACTATTCAATGGAACATTAGTATTTTGGCTTGGTTCCAAGCACTGACAGCGTTTGACTGCTTGTTAAAATGTGTATTCGCCGAGATTTTGTTGAGGTATTTTGACATGTTCTAATAGGTTTAAAGACCATTCTACAATTGTATATCTAAATCTTATCTGTAAGATTGGTGAAAAGGTATGATCAAAAGATTTGGTATTTTAAAATATCACATGAACTGAACATAATTTTTTTTTAATAAAAGAATATTACTTACTTGTAGTAATAATAATAATTTGTTTTCATTTATCGGTATAGAATATTTTTCAAACATATATTAATTGCTGAACGAACGATGTAGCAATCAGTAAATGTTTAAAAAAATATTCTCACAACAACGAAAAAACTATAAAATATGTACAAACATATACTATAACGCAAAACAGCATACATTGCGACTTGTGCTTTCAGTCGGCTTAAATCATTGGCTGATTCAACGAATCTCAGCTCCATTAGGACCGAAACAACAACTGTTGGCCGTCCATCTATTGGTCAATTTTTGCAAAAGTTGTTTAACTTTTGTAATTGTTGAGCTCTAATCATCGATCTCACCCGATTAAGTCATTGTTATAATTGATTTCAATATTCTGCTAAACTGAAATAAACATAAATGTTCGTTTACACATCGCAGTCTTTGAACAGTCATCTTATTAGGTATATTTATTATCAATACAAACAGAAAAATAATTAAAAATTATGTTTTGAGGATTTTTCTGACGGTACCAGCAAATGAAGTGGTCGCGACAGTTTTGTTTCGCTCCGGTAATTGATTGGGAATGCTTCTATAATTAGGAGCGTGACTCTTGTTGCTGACTCTACATATGTATTTCAAGTATGGACAGACAGATACTTTTGCTAACAAGGTAATATGAACAACGAATCTTTCAATACTAAAGCAATTTTTTGTTTCAGAGAATACCCATGTTTCATGCGTCACGGAATTATTTATGATTATGATGATATGAGTAAATTTTAATGGTACTTAATTTAATTTAATTGATGAGCTTTTGTTTATGAAATGAAAACTATAGACAAATTTTTATTTCGAGAATTCTACTTTTTATTACGTTATAAATACGTAATAATAAGTACAATTCTCGAAATATGGAAGTAGTCCTTTATTAG